TCTTAAACTAGAGCTTAGGTTAGAGAGAATAATAAGAATAGTTATATTAATATAATTACTTTTACTACTTTTATAAAGAGGTATTATTTTTTTAAACTAATTAGAAAGTAGAATAGTAATATTAGTATAAGAGCGACGCTAGTATATTAATTTACAATACTAATATATTAATTCTTAATAATAATAAGTTTAATAACGAGGGATATTAATTATTAATATAAATAATAACTATATTAAATAATAAGGATTAGGCCTATATTAATACGCTTATTAATAAGCCCCCCCCTTATATATATTATAAAGTCTTTATAATATAAAAGCTTATTATTTTTACTAAAACTAAATATACTTTTAAAAAAGCCTAGACTAAGCTTTATAAAGAGTTTAATAATTAATACTTAATTCTTTAGTATTTTTACGTAATATACTTATTTTTGAAAGTATAATAAGCCCGTTATTTTATTTAAAAATATTAGAACTTTAGTACTTATATTACCTCTAGTACTAAATTAAATAATAATAATATTAAAAACTATTTTTTAAATAATTTTAGTTATTTATATTAGCTTATTAATATTATATAAAATATAATTAGTAATTAAGAACTATATTTTTATTAAGTTTATATAAAGGACGAGGTATTTATAAACTAAGAATATATAAATACTCGTTTTAAATACCTAAGCGAATTTTAAATAATATTTTCTTTAAAATATTTTATTTTAATTAGGATATAAGGCCGGTTTATAGAAAAAAAATACTATTTAATAAGAAGCTATTCCTAAACCTTTTTAAATTTATAATTTAAATTATATTATTTTAATTAAACTAAGTATCCTATATTATTATAAAATCTATTTTAAAATATTATATTTAGCTATTTTTAATAAATAAAAAGTATATTTTTAGTAATATCTTTAAAAAACGCTTTTTTTAAATTTATATTACTAAATCCTTAACCCTAAGATTACTATATCCCTCTATAATAAACTAAAATATATAATATAACTTATTTTATTATTACTAGCCTTATTTAAAAAAAGCTAGTTAATTAATTAAGCTTATATTATTTATAATAATTAAAGTATAAATAATAAGAAGCGAGGCTATTTATTTAAAAATAAAAATAAGTTCATACTAACTAGGCTTATAAAAAAAATAAGTTAACTAAGTTAAAATTAAATATCGAGCTTATTTTAATAATAAATAAAAGGCTAATTTAGTATTTTTAATAAAGGGAGGATAATAAGGAATTATATAAATAAACGGCTAATATAGCTTAGTATTTAAAAAAAATAAAGCTAATAAAAAATAGTTTATAATAATAATAAATTATTTTAATTATATTAAAAAAAGTAATTAAACAGACGTTATTATAATTTATTTTTTATATATTTTAAATATATAATAAAAAAAGCCTTATTTATTTAAAATTTATAAAAGCTTATATTACTAACTAATTTAAAATTTATAAATTTTAAATAAGTAATATAATAATTTTAAATGAGTACGTAGGTTATAGTAGTATTTTTATTTTTAAAAATCTTAAATTAGAACTTAAGTTAAAAAGAATAATAAAAATCGCTATATTAATATAGTTATTTTTATTATTTTATAAGGCGGTATTATTTTTTTAAATTAATTAAAAAGTAAAATAGCGACGCTAATATAAGAGCGATATTAATATATTAATTTATAATACCAGTATATTAATTCCTTTTTAAAAAGTAGAGCTTATATAAAGAACTTTATAAGCTTTAATTTTATAATATACTTATATTTATATTATAACCTCGTTAGTTAAGTACTTATAGCCTAATCTCTTATAGTAAGTATATACTAACTAAAAATATTTTATAAGCCGGATTATTAATTTATCTTCTATTTTTTATAAAAAACCAATTTTTATTATACTTAGTTATATAGCTTTTTTTACTTTTTTTTAGAGGGTTCTTATATTAACGAACTATATAAAACTCTTTTATATATTTATAAATATAACTCTCGTATTAACTATACGTACTTATTTACTCTTTTTTATATTTAAATAGATATAAAGCTTATATAAGTTTTTAATATAAGCTTTTAAAAATATATATATATATAAATAATAATTATAGTATAATAAAAATAAAAGTTAAGTTAAGTCTAGTTAAGATCGATATTTATAACGTTTTCTATTTATTTATATATATATATATATAAAAATAGTACTAGTAAATATATATTAGTTATATAATAGTTTATATAGTAGTTCTTTTTTTTTAGCTTTATAAGTATAAAAGATTAATCTTAATAAGATTACGTTTTTAAAAAAAAACGATATAATATAATATACTTTTTAATTATATAATATATATTAAAAACGTATAGGGTATAAAGGACTCTCGTAGTATAGTACTTTAGAAAAATTATTAATACTTATAAAAGTAATATAAAATACCTCTTTTAATTAAGTTAATACGGCCTTATTTAATAGAGTTATAACTAAGAAAAGAGGATAATATTAACTAAATTAAAAAAGTAGACTTTTTAATTATTTTATATTATTATCTTTAAAAATAAATTATTAAAAAAGCTTTAATTCGATTTTAAAAAGTATATATATAATTAAAATAAAAATCCGCGCTATTTAAGCTCGCTATTTTTAATTAGGGCCCTTTTTTTTATATTTTATTCTAATTAGCCCTCTTATAGATCCCTATACTTAATTAGCTTTAGAAAATAATTACTAAGACTAATTACCCTACTATATCTTAATATAATATATTTTAAATACGTACTTAATATAATATAATAATTTTAATATAAAAATTATTATTTAATTTTGGATAAGTAAGCTACCCTTTACGTAGTAGTGCTAATTAAAAAGGTTAATAATGAAGGTTAGCTATAATAGTTAGTTATAATAATTAGCTATAATAGTTAGCTATAATAATTAAAAACGGCCTTTTTTAACTATAGAGATTCTAAACTTTAATAATAAGATAGAGGTTTTTAAAAAAAGAGCTAAATAGGCTAATATTTATTACTTAAAACTTATAAAGATTTGTTTTATACTTATTACTTTTAATATTACTTAAAGCTACTCTCTATTTAAACTAAATAAATTTACTAAATAAATTTCCTAAATAAACCTATTAATCCATAAACTATTACTTTAATAAGAACTTATTCTATTTTTAATATATAATTAATAATTAATAAGCTAAAAATGCCCGTTAATAAGTCTACCCCTCTCGGGCTAAGCGCCCTTTTAAATTAATTTAATATTATAATTATTATAATTAATATAAATATATTTAAAAAGTAGTAAAGTACTTTTTAATAGTATAGAATTTAGCTAAGTAATATTATAAGTATTATAAATAGCTAGGTTAATATAGATATTAAAATTTAATATATTAATACTAGCTTAGTTATAATAGTTATAATAAACGGGCTAGAGGTATATAAAATTAGAATAATAAGCTAGTATTTTAAATAGCTCTTATAAAACCCCTTAAGTAATAATAATATTTATATAAAAGAATAGATTATACTAAACTTAGCTATTTATATAGGCTAGTATTAAATAGTTTTATATATATTAAAATAAATAAAGCTCGCCCTATAAGTAGGTAATAGAGGGTTAGGAATTATTAATAAAAGGGAGATAATAATTAAGTTAGTTAATTATTATTTTAGTTAGTAGTTAGGTATAGAGCGTATTATATTTAGTTTTCCTTAATACGTAATATATAGTACGGCCCCGGTAGAGTGTTTTATTAAGGGGATATATTAATTATAAAGTAAAGCTTTTTTTATTATTTTAATTTTATTTATACTCTTTTATATTAATTTATAATTTTAAATATAATATTAATACGGTTAAGTAAAGCTTTTCTTTAAAAAAAAATACCTTGTTACTCTTTTTTATTATAAATATAAGTTACTAAAAACTAGTTAGCTAGGGATTAAATAAGATTTCATTATTATAAGAATTAAAAATGTATATATTAATAAATAAAAAGATAAAAAGAACACTAAAAATAAATATAAAATAAAGAGGGAGGGATAAGAAGAATTTTAAATTTTAAAATTTAAATTTAATAATAATAACTACCGTTATCTATAACTATACTTATATTTTATTTTCATAGTATATAATAATAACCGGGCTAAAAATTAAAAATAAAGATATTACTTTAATATTATAAATAATATAAGCAAGAAATATAAGGTTATTTCTGTTTTAATAGTGCTTAGTTAGAAATACGACTCTCTATGAGTAAGACTCCCCTTATTAGCTTATTTATAAGAGAGCGGACGGGATTACGAATTTTTTAATAAGTATAGTCGTAAATAATAGTATTATAAGCCTAGGCTAACTAAGTCGCACAGTAAGACTAAGATCACCTTGTCACTAGTGTTAGGCTAAGCTCTATTCTTTTTTCCTAGTTAGTTTACAACGTGGTTTTAAGCAGACAGCTATTATTATTCCTTCAACGAGATTTGATATGTACTTAGAAAGCGCCGCAGTCTTATTAGCCATTCTCCCAGTTAGGAACTCAGCAAGGGGCAGTGCGTGATATTACAACAAATTCAACATAGATTCAAACTGTGAGTGAAGAATAAAAATAAGTTGCTCAAAAACTTACGGCATAGTCATGTTGGGCCTTGGGCACAGAGACGTAATGAAATAACCGCAAGGGCCCCGATTCATGAGCTTACCACCTGAGTCGGCTGTAGGGCATGCACCTTTCATATCTCATTACAACACTGATACGGGGAAAATGTGTTCTATTATTCGAAATCCTTCTCTCTCTATACATCCTGTGCGCTGTGATGCGTTCTGCTTCTACCGCCCCACGTTGGCCAAAGCCTGACCCGTCATTATCACAAATGACCCCTCCATCACTCTTCATCATGACGTCAACATAACCAAGAGCTGGAGATTTCCACCTGTAATTGGGATTGATTGTTGACCACTGGTCCTTTATCTTCACTGACCTTTAGGTTTAGGCCTGAGCTTCCTCCTGCTTCTCGGGCTTGCGTGCGTAAACAACGTGGCTGAAACCCACGGTCAGTCTGTTCCGGGTCATAGAAGATTGAACATTGGTTTCGTGGCAATGACTCACAGGTGGAAATACGCTTGGAGCTTTGGATCTCTGAGGGCTTTACGCATCTCTGCAACGAAGACGATGATCTCGGCATACTCCCACCCCATGATCTCCTTGAGCAAGAATAAGGCAAATCCCTCAAGTGATTGATCATTGTACAGCAAATTGCACTCGCCAACCTCCTTCATCTTTGGATCCTTAGGCCAAGCACCAATAGGGATGGAATATCTCTTCTCAACGATGTCGACATAGCCGACTGCTTCAAGAGCTCTGGCAATGCCGCGGTTGTGGGTCTGGGTCAGCGTCTTACCGAGCTTGTCAGCTGCCTCAAAAAAGACTGGCGCCCACCGACTGAAGACATGGTCTTTAGGGATATCGTCACCGTAAAGCTGCGATCGAGTCGTGATATCGAATTCCTTGACTTCGACATAGCCTCCAGGAACCAGATGATCGAAAGCTTGTTTGTACAATGCCGGCCAATCCGCGATACTGGCTTCAAGGTGGCGGATATGAATGAAGTCGAAGTCCTCGGACCACGTCCACGACTGCTCGATGTCGTCAACTTGGAATTTACAGTTCGGAGGAACCCAGCCAGGCTGAATGGGAGAAATGTCGACACCAGTGACTTGAGCAGACGGAAATTCGTCGGCGAAATCGCTAGATTCTGGGTGTCAGAACAACACGTTTCGAGATCTGAATTCAGAGACTCACATAGCCCAGATACCAGTTCCAGTTCCGAGATCGAGGACTTTCTATGGGGCATTTTAGAAACTAGAGGTTATTCATCTGACCAAAGTGAGCTTGCTTACTTGCGGGCTGTCGCCAATAGGCGCCAAGAACAGTTTGTCATCGAAGAAAACGATTTCCCAATAGTGACTTGTAGTAGACATATTAACGTCAGCTGCGATGATCTTACAACTTTTATCTGCACTGAGGAGGCAGTTGGCAGGCAACTTCGTGCTTACGCAATGTCCAGCGCTTCGTTCTGCTTCTCGTCATTGGGACCCCAGTAGTCTGTCTTTTGGGAAAAGGTTCTCCCATGTATGCGACGGTACTCAGTGATGCTTTCGCTCAAAGAAGCCGTAGAGGTAGTGCGGATACTGCAAGTATTGAACCCCGTATGTCAGTATTCAGTACTATCGGATGTGTGATTATGAGGGTTAAGTCGAAGTAGAAATCACCTCTCTGTATCTGCCTGTGAGCTTTCCTCCCCATCGGCATCAATACCTTCATCCTGCACTCCATGTCAGTACGCTGGTCCTTCTTCGAACGCTCATGCATGAGTGTGTTCTCTTCTAGATCTTTCATAGTCTTCGATCATCGACATGATCGTAAGTAGCAAGCGGCACAAGGTAGCTCACATGGTTATCAGCGTCTACAGTCGCCGCAATCTCATTTGCAGGAGTGGCGGCTGCCGCGGCCGCGACGTTCGGAGCCTGCATTTCGCTTGAGTTCTGTCAATTGTGCGTGCAGGGTGGATGTGCAATATTGTGAATAAAACAGTGATGATGGAATATGGATGATGTTAAAGAGCAAGAGAGAGGTAAAGGCCGCGTGGAGCACGGAATTGCCCCTCACTTCAAGTGAGCAGTTTGGGTGCTCCATCCATTCTCCCTTCAAGTTGATCCACTGCATGGTCTCGGCGAGCGCCTCCGTCTCCGCGAGCGAATGAGAATCATTGTTGCGGTCACACGAAATGCAGGATTTAAGCGGTTTTCGGAAGGTAAACGCTGGTTTCCACGTTCAGAGATGAACCAACAGAGGATCAGTCCCAGCAAGTGCATGAGGTGACAGGGGTTAGGCTCTGTTGGTTCCAACCGAGGCAGAACGCTTGTAGCTTTAGTCAGACGAGTCTCAAAAACCAGATATACAATACAGGATTTCTTTTTCAAGCTTTTACGGTTGTTTAGAGAAGATTCGCTGATATCGATAAAAAGTTCTAAGCAATATCGACTTAGTTACAGACTTGCAGGGCTCTAGAACATCGTACTGGTGAGTTCAAATATTTTCGCGCGGTCACGAGAACTGCACTCCGCCAACATATTCACTCGATTACTAAGATTAATGGGTTCATACAAGAATGTGAGGATAACTAATGTCATTCTCTTATTCTACTAGTAGAGTCTTGCAAGCTTAGGCTTGACACCGAAACATCGTTCAACAAGCGAGTAAAGTATATCGTCCTAAGAACCAAAAAGCTTCAACTGCTTGGCCGTTGAGCTCGTCATTTTCAATTGCTCGCAGTTCGTTCAAGGTCGATTTGCAAATAAAAGGTCATGAAGTCCATAAATCTGCCACTTGACACCTAATACTCCTCACCCGATGAGCTCATAGCAATATCCTAGCCCTAAATCGAGCTGTTATGATAAGTAGACGCCCAGAGAAACAAGAACTTCATGTGAATCTGAGAGAAAGCAAACTATATGCTATAGTCATCTACCGTGTCTTAACGTGGCAATTGTCCGCACATAGACGGAACATGTACACCCATTGGATTCTTGGTGCTGACGGAAGCGTCATCTTTTCGCTTTGTTCCTTCAGCTTCCAGTTCTCCAATCCGCTATCAGCGACTGCGAACAGCCCAGGGACTGGCGTCACATTCCAGTCGTTTGCCTTTTGCAAACCGAGTTCAGCCTATTGATCATGCCAACATCCCGACAGAAACCTCGCTTTCCAGGTAGTTAGGAGCTCTTGCTGCATTGACTCCTGCGTCGAGTTCCCGTCAAGCCTCTGAAAGAAGTCTTTGGTTTCGCCATCTTCTTTGGAGCCAAAGATACTGTTGAAGTTCGCGTACTCCTCTATCCGTTTACGATTTCCCACAGAAACTAAGACTGTAGTTCCGGATTAGTCTCCGCAAACAGGGTCAAATGAGTCCGTGCAGCCTTACCGATGCGCTCCTCGCCGTTGGACCCCCAGAGTCCGGATTATGTTGCAGCATCCATGTCAGCGTGAACGGCAACTATCTTCTGACAAACTAAGAAAGTTCGGATGCTCCAGAGAGTACGAAAATTCTCATGATTGCTCAAAGGTGGGAAGAGTGTATGTAGAATTTCGCCTGTGACGCACACCGTTTGAGCGTAGTCCGCGACGGGAGACAGGTATTTGAAGGGTCCCATGGGAGGACGAGCTGACCAATAGTGACCACAACTCGAATCCCAATCAAGAAATATTACATTCCTGCCCGTGGAACAATCAAACCACAAGTCAACTAGTTCTCTGTTTGTGGCAGTCTTTGTCTGCCATTTCCCATCTCGCCGGACTGGAAACCCCGCAGCTTGTCTCGATTCACGACGGACGGCCGCGATGACTGGAGGAGCAGAGTTGAGCTTCAACGTCATCTGGTGTGTGCACTTCTCGGTTCGGCCATTTTTTGACATCGATCCATTGTAAATATACCCTCCCTTATGAGGTTTATTTATCTCGACAATGCGGACGCGAGGTAGACATTCATCCCAAATGGCTCGGCGAAGCTCTACAGGGAGCTGAGGGAAGAGATGGAACTCTTGAGGCTGAAGTGTTGCCATTCTTCACTTTGTCTGAACAGTGTTTTGGGGTTGTAGGGAACAAGAATCCACGGAATTCATCTGAATTTGTCGGGTTTGCTGTCAAGAGGCGGTGGCATTTTGGGAATCTACTTGTAACATCAAGGCAACCCGACAACGTGGGAAGCCCTGGTTGACAGGTGGATCCGCCACATGCCGACGTGTTGATGCATTCAAGACTATCCTAGGCCCACGATGCCGGCCCCGCCTGGCAGCAAGAACAACGTTCTCTGCAATGAGTCTAAAAGGCCGGGCAGAATATTACACAAATCTTTACCTTACTCAAACATGATCAAATTGCGCAAGCTGCTCGACTAGCTAGGTCTTGGCGTGAGTTGACAGGTCCAATTGACCAATAGCAAATTACTCGCTATCGCTATCGCAATTTACACTCAAAGCCGATGATAAGAGTCTATTCCGATTTCCGAAATGAGCTTGCGGGGCCCCGGGATCGGCCCTGGACGATGACAATAAAAGTTGTGGCTATTCGCTGTTGCGTCTCATGTTCAGTCACGCCCGGCATTGAATCTTTCAGCCCGTCAAGGCCTCAGTCGCAATGGTGAACGTTTGGGCATCAGCGCTTCTCGGCGCTTCCACGTTGAGCGCCTACGTTCAAGCACAACTCGGCGAAACAACACCACTTCTGTCATATGCCAATGTCACGTCTCTCCTCGACACCATCCTTGCTCGCGGGTACATAAATGTCGGCACAACTGGGGACTACAAGCCTTTCACGTACCTCGTCACGAACCAAACGACCCTGCCAAACACTACAGCAATCAACACAACCTACATCGGCGCCGACATCGATGCCGCACAGTCCCTGTCCAACGCCCTTGGCCTGCCTAAGCCTCCCCGCCTCGTCGCGACGAAATGGGCAAACATTACGAGCGACTTGTCCGCCGGTAAATTCGACATTGCCATGGGTGGCGTCAGCCTGACCCTTGCAAGAGCTAGAACTGCCTTTTTCTCCACGGCGATCCAGAGAGTCGGCAAAACAGCCTGCATTCGTTGCGCCGATGCAGCCAAGTACACCGACCTCGCATCGCTCGATCAGGCCGGCGTCAAGGTTGACGTCAACCCTGGCGGAACCAATGAGGCGTTTGACAGGGCGAATCTCAAGTCTGCAACAATTGTCATGGTGGAGGATAACAACGCGGTGTACCAGGCTGTGCTAGACGGCACTGCTGATGCCATGATTTCTGACCTGATTGAAGTTGAGTTGCAGGTCAAGCTGCATGAGGGCGAGCTTTGTATTGCCAACTCTGACGCACCATTCAACTTCGAGGAGCTTGGATATGCGGTTTCGAGGGATATTGTATGGAAGCAGTTCGTCGACGCTTGGGTCCATGTGCAGCTTGGAAGCGGTTCTTGGAACGGTACACTCGAGAAATGGTTGAACTACAAGTGGCCCAGCGTTTAAATGCCCTGGGCTTCATGCTGGAAATGGCAGTTATTAGTACCTAATGCCATGAATGATAATAAAATCCTGTTGTATGAATTGGAGATTTTGTTGACGCCATATTCGTAACGATTGAGAATATGTCATCTTGAACTAAAGCTTCGACAAGGGTGTCTGACTTGTCAGTTGCAATTTTGCAAGCTTCACCGCATGTGCTGCCATTCCCCTACGTTCACGTTAGCAAAGCGACGTCATCACACACTGTATCTTCGTGTCAACTCACCAAGATGCCTGATATCCCGCCCCAGATGCTCCGTAATTATGTACGACCAGCCCCTCATCTCTCTTCTCAACCTCGATTCTTGGTCCGCCTTTACGATTCGGTCTCAGCCCGACGCCGTGCTTGATGATCTTCAAGTCTCCGGGCTTGCCCAGCTCTGGGGCCAACGCGCAACAACGCTGGAGGATAGTCTTTGTCAACTCGGGATCGACCTCCTTGTCCCAATTTCCGTCTTGACGACATCCGCCTAGAACAATGCCGCCTGCTAGAGGCCTCTGGAAGATGTAGGTGGTGTCGTTGTCTACTCTTCGAGGTGAACGGAAGTACATCCTCTTGAGGGGCTCAATCGGCTGCTCGACCAAGATGGTTTGCCCTCGAGTCGGATACATGGACTTGTCTTCCACTCCACCAAGGAAGTAGGATCCTAAGCCTGTACAGTTGAAGACCGTGGTGACATCTGAAGAGATGCGAGCCTCATTGATGTGACCAATCTTTTGACGGACCAGAATGACTTTGCTCTGTCTGCATTGCTCAAGAAGCCTATTATACCTAGTCAGGCTATCTGCGTATCACAAGATATGAGTGAAAGAATGTGTAACTTACCATTGCAAGTAGATTTGAGTGTTGATCACAAAGGTATTAGGTACATCAAGTCCAAACACGGCTTTGTCGGGCAATTCGTCCGTACGAAGTGGCACAGTGCCCCCAACCAAGTCATCGTACCACAGCTTGCCAGTTTCCACACTAAGAATGCCTGCATCCTCGATCTTTTGGTCGAAGATCATTCGCAGCGGCGAACTTTTAATTCCCGCTTCTGGTGCGCTCTTTGCAATTTTCCTAAATCGCTCAAATGCGACACGGTCGAAAGATTCGAGAAGACCATTATCGTTGGCCGAGGAGCACCAATTACCTCCGGCCCACGGCGAGCAGTAGTCGATGTTGTAGTCGCCGGGGAAGTACTCTGCTAGGATCGTGATCTTCACGGATGGAAATTCGGCTCTGATGGTCAGTGCGGTAGTGAGACCGATGACGCCGGCACCGAGGACAACGAAGTGTTGCGCGGGAGTCGTCATATCGTCGTGTCTCGGATGCTGTGAGGTTGACGGGTGCTTGGTAAGGGTGATGTGAGGTTGACACCGCCGGGCCTGTTCGAGATCCAGTTGGCAGTGGTGTGTTGGGGTAGCTCCGGTCCGGGCCGGCGGTGTTTACGGCTGATTGATGATAAATGTCCGAAGTCGGCCTGAGCCATGGCGCAACGGGGCTGGGCCGATTGTGGAATATGTCTTGGCCACCCCAGTAGTCAGCTTGGCTACAGTATCAGCGTCAAAGTGCAACAGTCCATCCTTGGGGAACTCCAACAATAAACCGAGGCAAGTGATATATTGCACATCCAGGAAAGTTCATTTCTCAGGCTCAACTTCCTAAGATCGGTTGCGTCGTACGCATAGAGTAGATCACATGGCTAATGTTGGACATATCCTTGGAACATCAGGACAGGCTGCTCCATCAAGATGCAAGGGTTCGAACTTGTATCACTGAGCACTTGATTCTTGAATCAGTTTTCATTCTCCAAGACCCTAAGTACAATTTAATTATTTGCAAACGCCGCGCGCAGAAGTCCTGCCGTTAGGACTATGTCATCATCAATAAACAGTTGCGATCACATCTTTTTTCCAGCCTTGTCCTCTCCTAATGGATGATTCTGCTGCATCCCCACGAGGCTCACTCCTTTCTTCTGTTGCGAAGCCATGGATGGCATTGTGTTCTGGTCTCCACTGTGTCTCTAAAGATCATTCAGCCAAAGGGCATTGCTGCCAATCCGAACTGGAGGCCTACTCTCTCTTCCTCTACCTCTGCGTCGTGTATGAAGTCATGGCCGGCTTCAACGGCGTCGTCCGACAGACCGTGTTCCTTTAGCCCGTGATCTTGTCTGTTCGACATCTCGCATTGGTTTATATTGAATGGATGATTTCTCTTGATCACAAGTTGAGTTGAATTGCGATTCTTTCAATCAGAAGGCTTAGGCATTATCTGCTTCACAAAACACGCGGGTTTCCCCTCGTTTTATAATCTTCAGCGGAGTCAAGATGGCCGAACGTCATGAAGTTGTCTAAGTGAGGGGTCTACGGTTCCTCCTGCGAAGCATGTACACCACCATCAGCCAGGGCACGGTGAGAAACCCCGCATTCATCACGATAATTCATCCACTCTTAGTCAAGCCCGCAAGGATGACAGACCATCAGAACTTCCATCTACAGACGTGCAGTCGCGGGGTCAAGCTTTCCATGATGACGGTCTATGCCTGGCTGGACTGGTCCACCAGCCAATCGTAAAGACACGCACCTAAGATTGGTTGAAGCTAAAGGCAGTCGCGGAGATGAGGAAGGGTGAGAAAGCAACTGGACGATCGGGTCTATCGGTAGTGATCTCGAGAGCGATTAATCCTACCTCAGGTATGGAGCTTGACTATTTTACTTCCCATTGAGCGCGGTGTATGATATATCCTGGCTTACATCAGTCTCTACGCGGGTTGGGTGCATAAAAATCCGGCAGGATCTATGCGACAGACTTCAAGGTTATGACCACGATGAAGGCGCCGGTGCGAAAATAGTGAGATGAACCAAATCGACAACTTTTCTTTGTTTGGTGACTCTGTTTGATTCAATCATGAGCCTGGTAGTTACTGCACCCATGTAAAAAGATGCACGATACTGCATAGCGCCAAAAGAGCTCATTCTCGAATGCTTCGCTTCGCACTTGCTTTACTTGGAATTCTTGTGACACAAGTACGTCGTTGGCTGAATCTAAGGGTACCTCACCTAAATGTCATATATTATGTACTTTCGAGTCCATTGGCCTCGAGTCCCACAGCTCCGTTTAGTAAAACAATCTGAGCCAGGGACTGGAAATTTTCCTTTATGCTGTAGTCTCACAGGATTTGAACTTGCCTTTATTATATAGCTTGGTTTAACTAAATCGCTTATTCATGACTATCATATTACTTTAATTCATTGACACATTATACTGACGGTTAAAATTAACTGCATCATTAGAACCATTACCCAGCTCTGGGAAGACAAGCCCATAGCGCCGCTGGTTGACACACTCTTGCTCGCGCGCGCGGCCTCATCCTTCGATCGATCAGGGTCATCGCCTATCGGCTGAGTGACCCAGTCCTTGGGAATCTGCGCAATAAAGTCGTACCAGTAGTCACCCATCATACGGTAACCCTCATCCGTCGGATGAATGCAATCGTCTCTCAGAATGCCGTTCCCCAAAGCCGCAAAGTCCACAGCCAGGACGTGGTGGCTGGCGTTTCTGCGCTGCTCGACAATGCCCGGGATGAGTTTCTGGTACGCGACCGTTGCGGCTTCCTGTTCGGCGCTGCATGTGTCGACGATTTGGGCGACGAGGATGGTGGCGTCGGGGCATGCGGTGATCATCTGGTCGATGAGGGAGCCCAGTCGCTCGGCGGCGGCCGCCGGGTCGTTGCCTTCGGTGGAGACTGCCGGGTTTGGGTTCATGTCGTTGGTGCCGGCGTGGAGGAGAATTATGTTGGGTCTTTGTACCAGGGATGGGCCTACGTTGTCGGCGATGTACTTGATCGTTTTCCCAGACCAAGCAGCCTGCAACTTGTCAGAATTGGGAATGTGGAAATAGGACCTATTCTGTTGACGAACATAGTATCCATCGCTCATATTTCCACCGTAGACTGTACCGGCGAAAACAACTTCGTTGGCTGTGATGGTTGTCAGATATGAGGCCTTCCCAGTTCGCCTGGTTGTGGTGGAGTTCATGATTGAGCTTCTCATGCGCGGTGAGTTAACATACCAGAGAGGTCCTCATCAAGTTTGAGCCTGTAGCCATTTCCATCGCTGCTCAGATATCCCACAGTGATAGAATCACCCACAGGAAGTATCCTCAGCTTGACACCATCTTTGATAACCTGTCCCGCTGGTGTTGCCTTGTACTCAAGGGAGTCGGCAGCGAGCGTCAGCGGGGTAATTAGGGCGATGATGCTGGCGATTGAAAACCTCATCTTGAGGGCCGAGGGCTGGGTAAACGAGACGACACCATCGCGAAAGCCCTCTCAAGAGATTAGGCAGTAGTGTGCGGGTATCAGCCACTTCAAATAGTCCGACGTAGACCAAGGCAATTCTCAATCGTCAGCAACCAACCCGTAGACCGATGAGGGCGATGAACGCATCCCTCGGGCACAGCTAGCCGCGATCCACCACATCCAACCCAAATTTAAAGGGTCAATGCCAGGCACCATCTTCGCTAAGCACTGTAAGCAACGGGCTGGGCTACTTGGTGCCGTTGCATTGAGGGCGAAGTGACCGAAGGGCCCCGTTTCTCGACTCCACAGGGAATGGGACCATGCCGTATGGTCCGGCGGTTTTCTCCTCGGTCGAGGAAGGGCATTCTCCTCTTTGGCACCCTGCGCTGCACACCACCGGCCATGTTCGCGAGTCACGAGTGAAGTCTCAACGGAACCAACGTGATCAAAGAGCGTTGAAGCCGTTGGAGGGGTTTTCGAAATGGCCCGTCAATCTCACCCTGCAGGGCCTTTGCTACGGTATCAATGGCTGCAACTGGCCGCGTGGTGGGCTGCCGGCAGTTCGCCAAGGTGGTCTAGCTCGGCTCTCTAAGGTGCCTAGGTGGCACGGGAGGCGCTGCAAAACCTCGTCATCTGGCTTCCGGTGCGAGACGACGGCGTGGCCGGGTTAGCCGGGCGCAAAGAATGGGGGGAATGTTCAAAGACGACGGAGCCTCGGACACGAGAAAGTGGAGGAAACATCGAATGGGAATGGAATCCCTTCTAGTCTTACTTGCCTGCCTGCTGCCCCCAGTAAGGCTTTTGCAAAAGTTTGCCCGCTTACCAGGCCCCTTTTGCCTTTGTGCATGAGTTCTTCGGGCCGCTCCCTTGCGCCAGCACGAACGCCATTTCTGTGCGTTCAACTTGTCAGATGGCAGCGCATGAACCCCTTGACATGAGATGCCAATGCGGCGGAGGATTTTGCTACAGGATGGTCCCAGTTCTTTGAGCCACCCCAGTGCCCCTTTTTCTTTATCGATGAATTTTCCACACCAACGAAATTTTTCTTTTCTATTTTCCGACACGGGAAACACCACCAATAGGTACAACCATGCGTCTAGAATACGCAGCTGAGGGAGACGTGGATTCCAAGTAGCAACCGAATTTTAGTGTGCTAGAGGCTCCGCGTGATGGAAATATCTTAGGCATGCTGCGTTGGAACCGCCCTTGACAGCACTGTTAGACGGAGACCGATGACTTCATAACTGGACGCCGTTGCTCCAAGTTCCAACCAATTTGAAAGCTTAGCCATCCCATCGCTGCCGCTGATCCCCCATGACAAGTGGGTATAATCCACCGCCATGTGCTCTGACGTCGCTAAGACTCTCTCCATTACTACGTCGGCATTCTCGGCGCGTCCACTGTTTACAACGTCAGTTCGCTGTCACGTCAAGTCTGCCCCGCGCGCCATGCCCGTGATGGCTTCGGCTTTAGGTAGTGGGTTGAACTAAATGCACGTTTCTTTGTCGCTCTAGTCAGCCATCATTTCTCCTACAACATGCAACAAAAGCATGATGGTCGATATCAAGAGTAAGAGGGTCTGTGGCTATCAGCCTGTGCCACCAGGCTCTGCTAGTGCCGTCAATCCTGAGATCTAGTTGCCTTGGCTGGTGAAATTATCACAATAATTTCAACTTTATGAAGGACGCGAAGACGAGGCTTCGCGACATGTGGAGAATAAAGAGAATGTATACTAAACGAACGATCTATTACAACCAGAAACCAAACCACTTTTTCAGATTCTACTTCCTAAGAAAAAACGCTACTCCAGACTCAAAGAGCTGCCGAGCCTTGAGATATCGTGTCTCACCATGCGCATCCCTAACACATCCCACTAGTTGGAGTTATCGCTGATGTCGCCATCGTACCCCCCGTCTGTCTCTTCGTTGCATGTGTCAATGATGGCCTGCTCAGCCTCCTGGCACTGCGCCGACATCCCACACAGGATAGCAGCCACGCGGTACTCACAAAGCTCGTCATCACTGCACTCGCCAACCGCGCAGCAGGTCCAATCACTCGTAAAATACTTCTCCTTGGGGGGAGACTCTGTTGAGGACTCAGTGGAAGACTCAGCAGGAAAGGTCCGCGGGCGGGCGTTGAATTGAGGGAAGTTACCTGGACGGTCGCTGAGGGTATGGTTCTGGGCATGGCCTGCGTTACAACATTCCTTGCATTGGATGAGGAAGCCGGCGCGCTGCGAAACCTTACGCGAGACGGCGTGGGAAAGGCATAGCTGGAATGTGTTAGCGCTTGCCACATCGGGGCACTCATCTGGGTAGATCGTCATGAGAGGAAGACCAAGCAGAGTGCCATTTGTGCGGTACCCCATCTCCTTTGCCTTTTCACAGAGGTGATAAAGAGGCTCTGGCGTTGATGTGAGACGCAGGAGTGGAAGACGGATGTCGTTTTTCTCAGAGAGGCAATTCTTTGTGCAACACACAATCAAAATCTCGGTTTCTTGACACATTTTGTTGAAGGAGGAGTTTTGGTAGTGGGGTTGCTAGTGGATCGGGTTATGGCAATTATCCTGGAAGGATGACGAGCGTGCTTGCTGTGGATGTAGACAATGATATTTGGGAGACGCTGAGAACATGAAACTTGGACACGAGGAAGGCCGAAGTATTCGCTGGATATATACGCGTTGTGAAGCTGAGTTGGGTGCTTTGATTGAGTTTAGTACCACTGGAACGAGATGGTATAGTACAAAGCTGAACATCGAGACAAACAAACCTCAAGGCAACCAAAGCCGACATGATGCAGTCAAAGACTTGACAACAATGCAAGAGAACCTGCCTACCTTACAATGCTCAAGGTTCAATGTGCCCTGAAAAGACATTTACAACTCTTGTCATCGGGCCTTAGACCCGAATAAAGAGCAAGACTCAAGAGGAACACAACAAGCTTGTATTAGGCACTAGAGAAACAGCCAGGCTCAATCAAGATATACCTGCATTTCGGGATAAGGCTGCGCCATACCCGAGAAGCTGTTTGAGAATATCAAGTAAGGCTAAACCAGTTGTTCAAGTACCGTATTACAGCGTATACAGCCAGCCTTCCATGCCCTCATTCCTGCGGTGCCCTGCTTTTGCTGCTTTATTGCAGCGCCACAAGTAAACATCCATAATGATGATCATTGTAATGCTCACCATAGAGATCGCGAAAGTTGTCCAGATGCCGGTCTAGAATTTGAAATAGATGGTCAGAGAACAATGCATCAAAACAGATTCTGGCAATGCATCAACTTGCAGTGTAGTGAGGACTTTCTTTAGACATGAAAGCTGTGCTTGCGATAATGCCACCCAGGCCGCCTCCAATGAGACATGTTGCGCTTGAGACTGCGCGTTTTGAGTGTGAAGTAATGTTGTTTGCTTGGAAGGTAAGCACGCCAGGGACGCAAAACTGAAGAAACCCAATACCTATAAGTCAACATACCCACTTCCTGGCACCCCCCTGTTTCTGGCACCCACAAAAACGCGAAAATCCACCACAACCCAATGCCCACCCCCAACCTCCTTTTATCACAACATTTTCAATTCGCGTCCAAATGGGCTCATCTTTTGCACATGTCTTCTTCTATATATAATGCCTCAATATACCGAAGATCAGCTTCGTCAGGCTCTCGAGGA